TGCGGAGTCGTCGTGTTAAGCACGCTGTTTTTCTAGCGCTTACTGTCCAGCCAGCCCTGGGGCGAGCATCAAACTAATTGTCAGCACGTATAGCAACCCAAGCACAAGCGCCCATGCCGTAAAACCAGCTGTCGTATGTGTCTCCTGCATCCAGCGTACGGCACCCCAACAAGCCGAGCGATCGGGCACAATCTTTAGGGCCGCATACATGATCATCCAAACCAACGAATTCCCACGATATTCCAGTCGAAAAGGGCAGATGCTTATCATGCGTCTGTTATGCATCAGCATGCAGCAAAACAACCATGGCCTTTCGTTGCGAAATAGGAACGAACTTGAATCCAGAAAAACCGACCAACATGCCATTAACCACGCAATCACGTTAATATGGGTTGAGGAGGGTTAACGAGTGCACTCTGCGCCGTTCACACAGCCAGCCATTCCCTTCTTCCCCACCCCACCACCAACCATACCGTTGCACGCCCTGTCTCGTTTCTAGCTCCCCACCAGCCTCATCTGCCCATCAATCTCACGACCCAGCCGCCCCTCATCCTCGCACGCAGCCCCCCTCAACCTTGCGCGACTCGCAGCCACTAAAAGCCACTAAAAGACATCCCCCAAACTTTAACTCTCTTGTTCTACTCAGCTGTGCGTTTTCGCGCTTTAACAACCACATCGATGCTTAAAACCCCCAGTCAAATCAAAGCCTTAAAACTGAAAGCCCTCCTTCCAGGCCTCATTTTAGACGTCGCATCAAAGTCCAGGTTCGATAGCACATAGCACACAGCATGGGTGGTGTCGGCCTATCCGTCGGCCTATCCGTCGGCGACACGGCGCAGGAAAAGCGACAACAGATGCCACCTTTAGGGGGACATGCTTAAGCAACCACCAACACCGAAGTACTGCAGACCGGCTTGAGAAAGGGAAAAAGACAGCTAAAAGACAGAAAAACAATTTCACGTAGCTGCTCAAGGACCTCGTGCGTTGCTGTTCGTTGTTCACATGTGTATAACATCCTCCTCCCTTGGCGAGGAGGCATTTACTCAATATTTATCAAGCCAGCAAGATCCCTACAGGACGCACACACACACACACGCACACATACACACGCGCACACATACACCCCCCCACACACACAAACGAAATCATCAAGGAGGGAGCCCCCCAGGGACCCTCTCTCGCCTTTCCCCCTCTCCCACAATCCCCTTGCCTGGAACCCAACAACATCCAACTAGCAGTTGACAGTTGGCGGTTTCCGCTGTCATTTTATAAAACCCTAAGTCCCAACACCAAGAACAACACTGACCCAAACCCGCCTCAGCCCCGGGATTCAGTTTACTTGAACAACAGAAAACAGGGGGCAACGCCTCCAGCAGAACGACCTATCAGCGGATATATATACAGACAGACAGACAGATCAGGCAGATAGACGCATCTGCACTACAGGCAATCCTAGAATAGCAGCTATTATCGGAGACTGAGCTTGTCTGTGTTGGAAGGATTGTTGAGATGATGCGCGCAGTCATTGCCACCACGGGTGTTCGCAGCCCCCGCCGCAGCCGCTGCCGCCGCCGCCGCCGCCCCAGTCGGCTGCTGCTGCTGCTGCTGCAGCCGCCGCCACTCCTGGAACAACTGCCATTCCGCCGGGGTCACACCTGACGGCGGCGGCGCCGCCGCCGATGCCGCTACCGCTACCGGTAATGCCGCCGCGTTGCCGTGGTCAGAGGGCCGCTGCGACACGTTGCCGCTGCGTGGCGATGCTAAACGGTGATCCACTGGCATAGTGCCCTTCGGAGACTCCTGAGCGCTACACCTCACGTCCGTCGCGCCGCCGCCGCCGCCGCCGCTGCCGCCGGCTTCCACGACGCCTGCCGTGGGTGGCCCGCGAGCTCGCTTCCGTGGCCGCTCGCCGTCCGTCAAACCGCCAGCCACCTCTGCGCGCGAGCCGCCGCCGCGACGCGGTCCTGTATTGCCTGTTTTGGCATCGGCGCCGCGAGACCGCTTCCCACATTCCAAGTCCTCGGACCATGCTGCTGCGCGGCGTTGTCGCCGCTTGCTGTGTTTCATATCGCTGCTGCCCCGCGACCGACTCTTGTGCCTAATTTTGCCATCGCCGCCGTGCCGTACGTGTAGTGTACGGCGCTCTTCGCCGCTGCGGTGATCCGTACAGTGTTGGTGACCTCTGTATCCAACGCTCCCGCCAAGCGCGTCGCCACCAGCGCTATCCCCGCTGCTACTGCTGCTGCTGCCGCCACCCGTACTGCTGCCGGTATCCTCACTGCTGCTACTGCTGCTGCTTCCGCTGCTGCTACTGCTGCTGCTACTGCTGTCGTCAGCGTTCCTCAGACGGCGGCGGCGGCTGGGGCTATTGCGGTCGCGGTGGGGGTTATTCCGTCGCGGAAGCTCCTCCTCGGCGTCCTCCTCCTCCGCCGCCGCCGCCGCAGGGGCAGCGTCCCGCGACCGAGGCGGCACCGTCTCCGGAGCCCCACGAGGCGTAACGCCGCGGCCGCGGCGGCGGCGGCGGCGGCGGCGCCAGCCCGAAGAAGGAGACGAGGACCTGCCTGACGATGATGACGATGACGACGATGAAGAGGAGGACGAGGAGGACCTGGATGAAAAGCCGCGGCTGGAAGAGAGCGTGCTCGACTCGGACTCGGACCCGGAGGATTGTGAGTTAGACAGCCCGGGGCGGCGTAATCCTGCTTCGGAACCCCACCTCCGCTGTTGCTGCTGCTGCTTGACCGGAGCCTTACCGTCCGGTCCAGGAGTCCGTGTGGAAGGCCGAGGATGCGGAGGTTGCGGCGGCCAGCCGGGTTGATGATGGCATCGTGCAGCGGCGGCACGGCCGCGATCACCGGCTGGCGCCGCCGCCGCCGCCGCCGCCGCCGGCTGCCGCCAATCCGAATGCGAGTTCCTAATCCTGACGTCTCGGACGCCCCAACCGCCGGCCGGCTCGTGTGTCTGCCGCATGACGGCGTCGTAGCGCGCACCGGCATCCGTTTCGTGATCTTGTGACCCGGGCTTCGGCTTTTCTTTCTCCCATGCGACCGCATCAGCCGCTTGCAGCGGCACCGGTTGCGGCGGCGTCTGTCCGATGATAGGTCGCCGAGTACCATGACGCAGCTGATCGTGCCGACGCCGCGTCAATACCTCTGCCTGCTCCCAGTCCTCCGCCGGCCAGCCAACACGCTTCGGAAGTCCCGCTGGCAGCTGCCAAGGACGTTCCGTCGCTTCGAGGCCACCAGGAGGCCCGGTACGGCCGTTGCTGCCGCCGCCGTCACGCTCATCCTCCCTGTGCTCCTCCGACCGCAACAACGGCTGCCCGCCACGGTACGGCCGCTCGCTGCCATTACCGCCGCTGTGGTACGGCACGTCATATCCGCGAGCGCCTGGCCTTTGTTGGTGCGAGTCGACGTGGTGTGAGGGGAAGTCGTTGGGCCGCCGGTGCCCGCCGCCGCCGTCATCATGCGCGTCGTGTGCGTGGTAGTCGTCAAACCGCCTGCCCCGGCCCTCCACGCGCGCCTTGGCGTGGTAGCCGCCAAATTCACCGCGGTCGACCCAAGGCGCTCCGCGACCATCAAACCGCTTGCCGCCGCCACCGCCGCCGT